CAAGACCTTACATAAAAGAATAATTAATTGAAATAAGCAATATCTTGATTGGACTAGAGATTTCAACGGAAATGTTCGATTTAAGCATAAGTGAATGATCAAGTTATGAAAAGTACGATTTATTGTTTTTCGCTTTGGAGATCCTTCGTTGAAAATTGAACAAGGTAGCTTTTAATCTGAAAAGTTTATGGCTTGGTCTTATTTTATTTTCAAACAGATTTCCAGTCTTTCAATTACACACATATAAAGTTTACAGTTTTATTTAAAACATTAATTAAATTATACAATACTACCTCATAATTTGAAATAACAGTTACAGATTCCTATCGCGAAAATCCGAACTCTGTTTATACAACAAATAAGTCCATTACGTTTTGTTTTGATATAAAAATACCTCTCATAGCCGTAAACATCGAGGGTAAAAGTGGACGTGGAAAAACACGATGTTGCTATTTTGTACCAAAGAGTCCTTCGCAAAATAAAACGCGGAACGGGTTTCGACGGAAATCCGATGGTCTAAGACGAGGCCAGAAGGATCAGTGAACCCGCTTCACCAAGGAATTATTTTTAAGGAGTGTACACGGGACAAAGCGGTTAATTATGACAGACTGACTATAAATAAGCAGAGGTTCAACGGTTTGTTCTACCGACCTGTCTCAAGAGTAAAGCCCGTTCATTCGCATATTCAAATGGTGACGGCTACCCTTTAATCAGGTACGATGAACTCTGACTTTAGGCGTTGTCCAGCAACAATTACAAAAAATGGTTCCAACAATGCGTAAATAACTAGCCCTGTAAACAAAACGTTCTTTAATGTGTAAACAAACTTATTCTGAGAATAGAGGCAACATTTCGACTAGGCCTTGGGAAATTACTTTGTCATGTAAGCACGTTCAACATGAGGTTTTCTATAATCGCGTATTCATCGAACATTGGTTGCTGCGTCTTGATGGAACTAATGCGATGTTTATATTTGATTTTTCCAATTCACTCGTAGAGGTAGGAAGATGGAAGGAACAGTTAGATATTTGAAATAGAAAAGAGAGAGAAAGAGATAGAGAGAGAAGGGATAGAAACATAAGTAAAAAATTAGATAATAGGTAGGAGGTTAGTATAGCAAAATACATGGAGAGAATAAAATATACAAAGAGATAAATGCTTAAATAGAAAGACAGATGAAGATAGATAAATAAATATGTACGTAGATGCATAATTCCATAAATACTTAGAAAGATTACGATTGTTATGGGGTGAATGTAATACATATAAATCTATAAGCGGAAGGGGGAGGTTTCGCGTCCCTGTACTCATCTTTTAGGGCTTCAAACATTACATGCATAATAGGGTGTCTCGTTTTTTTTTTTTTTTTTTTTTTTTTAAATTTTGCCATATCCCACCGTACGATGAAGGCAGGGAGTAACCAGAGGGACATTTCACGTAGTTCTTCTGGTTTGCTAATAAAAAGTTAATAAACGAAATATGTATAATTCATGCGTTAGAAAGTAAATGTGAACTTATTTCACATCAATTGTAATTATTTATTAATTCACTACTTTCGTGGTCCGCTTGATCAATTAATACATGACACTTAATTAAGGTTTTTAGTGGAGATGAAAAATGTAATTATTTATTTATCTGACATTTTTATTTTTTTATCCTTGTGCAAATAGAATTTAACTGACGGTTATATATCGGCATTTAAATGTATTAAGTGTGTAATCATTATTAATACGTCAATTAACTATTCGATCTGTTTAGCTCTAGTTATAAATCTAGTCTTTTATATGTGACGAAATCTAGATTATACAGGGTGTCTTTTTTAGATGCCCCGGCTGACTTTCTCTTGTACCAACCTATAAAAATTACGTGTTTAATATTTTTTAGTCTAGTCTTAAATTTTTACCGTTTTGAGGAGAAAAATTACACAGGGTACCTCAAGCCCAATTCAACTTCAACATTTCAAATCCGGCCCTATACATCATGACACATCATTTTAAAGGAAATCAATCATTTCGCTGAAAAAAATGGTGCAATCGAATTTTAAATTGGTCAAAAAATTACAAAGTTATAGCAAAAAGTTCGAAAAAAACAGTCATTTGGTTTGCAATCACATTTCAAGGTCGAACTGCTTGCTTTAAGTAGAGATGCAAAGAGATGCTCTTTTTAACGACTCTTCATTGGCGCTCAGAGACATTAAATCAGGGGAGATGGATTGACAAGCATTTCTATCCTTTGCCGAAATTCTTTAACTAAGAGTTACTGGGTTTTGAGTGGCGTCGATACTTTTTTAAATGTCCCCATAGAAAATAATCAAATGGAGTTGAATCAGGTGACCGCGGAAGACAACAGATCGGGCCATGAAGTCCTGTCCACCTCTCCCGGAAGTGATGATGGAAATAACGTCCCATCTGCAAAGAATTGTATGCGTGGCATCTATCAATCTGAAGAATTATTCTTTGTAGTTGTTGCAGAAAAACATCGTCTAAAATGGTGGTAAAACTTCCCTCAAAAAATAGAGGACCTGAGCACCATTTAAATTATTTTCGTAGAAATAAGTCCCTGAGAAGTTCACACTAAACGTTGATACTGTGAACCACCTGATGATGTCAATAGTACGAAATTCAAGGACTTTCTTCTGCACACGTTCGAAAATTCCAACTGTTTAGTATGCCATTAGAGGTGAACTTTGAATCGTTAGTTCATATGGAAGAACGTCCGGAAGTCCCTGGACAAGATGACAGAGATACGGTTTAAAATTGTAAGTCCGGAGTACAACTTTAATTTAATTTTTTGAAAAACCTAAATTTTAGATTTTCGTGAACTTACAATAAAATATTCAGCTCCTCATCGAAATTACGCTACCGGTTTCTTTTCGTCAAAACTTTGTCATTTTTTGACCCATTTAAAATCCGATCGCACCATTGTTTCCAGCGTAAAAGATCCTTTGAAATGATGTGTCATGATTTATAGGTTAGTATGTGAAATTTTGAAGTTAAACTGGGCCTGAGACACCCTGTATAATTTTCTCCAAAAAAGGTAAAAAAATTGAAACTAGAGTAAGAAATATTAAAACAATAATAACTAAGTATTGGATCAAGAGAAATTCAACCGGGCCGTCTAAAACGGACACCCTGTATACCGATCAATCAATTTATCAATTTACTAATTTAACTATCAATCTCTGTTCTAATAAGTCAGTGTAATTACTTTTCTACCTCTCATTATAAATTTACATTAAAATTTGTTATATTAGTTAAGGTTGCTTGCATTCGAAAATCCTTTACAATTCAACTTATTTAATAAGTAATATTTATGAAAGGTATTGGTTAGGATAAAAAAGTCAGCGTCACGAGTGTGATTCGAACCCAACCTTTTTTATCTTAACCAATAACTTTCATAAATATTAATTAATTGAAAAATGTTAATTGGTCAATCGGACCACAAACTGTAATGGATTATTTAATAAGTTCAAAATTTCTCCGTTTGATCACCTTTACGGCACACAAGTTATGCTAAACCACCAAGACTGTCAGTTCTTGTAAAAATGTACCACGGTTAGATTAGGAGGAGGAAACCAGTTTTTACCACTACAATACAACAAAGAGAAAGAGAAGGTTAGAGAGAATGAATGAGAAAGAGAAATAAAGAGAGAGAGAGAGAGAGAGAGAGTGAGAGAGAGAAAGAGAGCGATATAGAGAGATATAGACAGAGAAAAAGTGAGAAACAGAAGGGTAACAGAAGATGATTACGAAAAAATAATGGAAAGGGAGAGAGAGAGAGAGAGAGAGAGAGAGAGAGAGAGAGAGAGAGGGAGAAAGATCGAGAGAGAAATTTGTAAATTTAAAAAATTTCTGTCAATGAAAGAGGCAATTAATTAAACTTACCACTCGTGAAAACTTGAAAAGCCCATATAACCCTGTTTATAACCTCAATTTCATGGAGTTAGCTATCTTTCCTTCTCTTAGAAATCAGTTGCCGCATGTCTCTTACGCAATTCTGATTTTTTAGCTGCGCACTGCTATAAATTATTTCTTCTTTGTGGCCAGACGACGAGGCGTTATAGGCTGGACTCATCCCAAAAACGTAACTGGGAATTTTTTAAAATCTCACTAATACAATTAAATTTGTCCATTAAAATGATGCAAAATTTGCTGAATTGATTTTTCGGGCTAATTCAGTTCTGAACCTGAAAAAATGAAACAGTAGCTGAATCAATAATTTATAATAGTTAAATTTTTTAGTTTCAAACAGTAAGACTTAACATAGTATGTGTAAAACGTTTATTTAAGGAATGCACTTATTTCTAGTCATTTAGAGTTGAACATATTTTTTTTCAATTTTAAGTTTTTATAGTCGTATGGCTTAAATTTCGTTGAATTATAAAATATTCTTAGCAGCTAATTTTGAATCAACATCTAGTTACGATGAATCTACTCAAATTTTAAAGTCATTGCGTTATAATATATATACAATTTTGGCCATGAATGTTATAATCCTTTCAATGGCATGGAGTGTTGATGAAAAATCAGACTTGATTTAACAGGCCAAAGTAACATTCACAATTTAATTAAAAAGTATGGAAGTAAAAGTTGCGTAACAGTTACCATGCCTACGCAATAGACGTTTTTAGTGTAGAAGAGCTTGCCAATTGAGATTGAAGTTGGCTAATCTTCGTCAGACAAAGCCAACGAACGCATCACCAATTGTGGTTCAAACCCAAGGCTAACGGTACGTTGTCGTACAACAACAAAATTAAAAAAACCTCAAAAAAGTTTTTTTTTTAATCCAGTCGTTATTTGGGTTGTCAATAAAAGCCAAAACGTCTTCCAGCCACATGCCCCAGATCCAGGAAGCTAACGTCCCTAGGGAAATGTCCTTGGGGGTTGGTCAAAGACTGCGCAGAATTGCTATCTTGTCGTTTCTAGGAATAGAAGTAAGTCCCCCACCTTTTCCACACCTAGAACCTGTGCCAAATTTTCGCTGTTTTGTTGACCGCACTTCCCAACAGCTGAACTCAGTTTGTTGTTACACTTCGAATTGAAAACCTCAACTGGTACAGCCTGTGATCTTCTGTGATTTAAAGGTTTACGTATTACCCTAGCTATAAAGAAAAAGGAGTGTTACACAAAAGGTAATTAAATAAGCGCTTAATGTTGAATAATTTGTCAAATAAAATTTGCTGTCATAAATCGTGAAAATGAAAGATTGTTATATAAAATGTACACATGGTAGAGTTAGGTGTATGCTTTCAAACAAATAATTCAAACCTTTACAAACCATTTTATTACTATTTTATTCACATATTTAATTATTTTATGAACTTTTGAAAAAATTAACTAATTAAAAAAACTTAACAGGAACTATTTAATTTTGTTTCTATAACAGTAATGTTATTGAATGGTAAGTTCGACAAAATCATTGTCACTTTTGTTTGTAGATTGATTGTTTATTTTTTTCAGCTAATTTAAGATTAATCAAATAATAATGTTTTGGAAATCACATTTTACTTTTAACCAAATTTAAGTTTTAAAAGTCATAAAAATCACAGTTTATGAAGCTTAGGTGTAAGTTTGGTTAAATGGATTTCAATTCATTCGATTCCTTGTTCAAAAACAATTAATCCAACTAGTACAATGGATGCAAACTTTGTAACACATCATTATCTACTTTAGTTTAACAAACAATAAATAAGGTGTGTTAAAACAAATTTTTGTCGGGAGTTTTTTTATCCCAATTTTTACAATGGAAAATTTGGCAAAATGGCTGAAATTTTAAGTTTTTAGTATGCATTTTGGCAAGAAACAGCTTATCACATCATTGAGTTGTAATCCAAGTACTTAAAAAAATTTCATGTTGTTCTTACAAATCTTGAAGGTTAGGGCACATCTTAGATTATGGAATATCGATCCTAACTTACCAGATTGCATATTAGCCAAAAAAAGGCAACCATTTTTTGTCCTTTTTTTGTGTAAACGTTTTCAATTTAGACAAATACTTGCGTTCTTTAATAAAATTCGTAAGTTTTATTCTACTGAGATTTAATTAATTAAAAATTATTAACGATTAAATTTATTTTATCGCCATTTTAAGAGTTTATTTCAATTTAAACGGTTTTAGTATAAATAGATAAATGATTTTTGTTTTTCGATATTGCATCCGTAAGGGTTTTCATACATGTTTTAAAATTATAGCCTTTGTGCTTTGATACAAACTCAAAATTTTTAAATTTTGTGTAATGAGGACAAGTTTTTGTTTATAAGGTCGATTTACTCTTCTTGTAGGAACTTGACGGTTGAGTTGACTTTTCGCGATTTACTAATTAGTTAAGAAAGCATTATTTTTCTCTGTTTAATAGTCTCTGGTCATACTGAATCGCCACCTCATTTTGTGACGTAAGGTTCCATAATAATCTCAGATTAGACAGAATTGAACACAAACTTATAATTTACTTGAATATAAGAGGTGTAAAACTTAACAATCCTAGTAATTTATATAAATTGACCTTATATAATTTTTTGTAAAATAAAAGAATATTTTTAATTTTGTGATGAAATAGGTTACTGCCATGGTCTTAGAACAGTCGTCCGTTTTTAAACTTTCAACCGCGTCATTCTAGAATTTTATCTTCGCCGGTAAACGCAATGAATGTCCGCCTGCCTAAATATAAGCGGGAACAGTGAGCCAAAATTAATTTCAACGTGTGCGGAATCACAATACTGAGAGTGTGTTGTTGTTTTGCAGTTGACCAAAAACGCAAGCCCATAAACAATTGGCATACGCGACGGCCAAATGCAAACCTATCGGTTAGACCCGCACCGATAGAAGCCAAATTGGTCCATTGATTACTCTGGGTATGTTTTTTTTGTCATCTTGATTCTGAAGAAGATGAAACTAGGAAGCAAATTCATCGGAGGGGAAGTCAAGGGCGTCGTTATGAAAGTCGTATTTTTAGATGCATGGCTTTTCTGCTTGTCGATCAAATTTTATATCTTTACTTTTTCAGTAATAAAAAATCTAAAGAGAATATCAAATAGTTATTTACCGCGTTTTATTATGTTAGGAGAAAACCAAAGAAAACATCAACTAGTAAAAATCAACACTGCTTAATACAAAATTACGAAGATCTATTATTTTTCTCACTCCTTTCTCATATTAAAATAGTTTCACCAAGGCTTACAAGAAGGTACCGACAAGAAAAACATACAGAAAAGCAAATAGGAAGATAACAAAACGTACCTGATAAACTGTACAAAATTAGACAGACCAACATCACTGAGGACGTACAATTTACTGACAATGTACAACAATATTCCAACTTCACATTTCATAAAACACATACAAGATGGCTCTTCTGATTGAATCTAAGAAAAACATTAATTCAAATTTGGTCCAATGTTTAAAGAAGATCGCTGGACATTTATAAGACTGATAGCATCAGTAGTACAAAGAGTACAAACACTAAGATCCATTATGGTAAATGGTAATAATTACCTCCATGTCTAGAGGTGTCAGTCTAAGGATTTAGTTAAATTTTAAAATTAAATCATCGATCGGAAATGACTAAGTAATTAGCGTACAAGAAAATTTCGAAATATTCTATCAGGAAATTACCAAATACTTTTTTTATTAATGGGTAAAAATATTGTAATTTTTTTTGACAGGGGCATCCGACAGCTTGGTCATTTTTGCCCCGAAGCACTAACAAAATACCGCTACACACTCGATACACAATCACACCAATAAATACATTCTTACTTATATACATTGATCGCACTCATACTGTTTGGTAGATGGAGTACTCGATATACCTCCCTCTACCTGTTCACTACAATAAACTACTCTAATTTGGGATGATGGGGTACTTGAAAAGTTTTCCGCCGTAGACCCAAGTCACGCACGCAACATGAGGGGCGATGGAGAAGGTACTTCGCCATCAGCCCCTCCTCATTCACACTAATAAATGCATTCTCATCAACATACATTGATCGCATCGGTAGATGGAATACTAGATATTCCTCCATCTGCCTGTTCCCTATAACAAACTAATCTAAATTGGGGTCGATGGGGTATTTTTATAAAATTTCCGCCATCAGCCCAAATCATATACACAATCTGAGAGACAATAGAGAGAAGCTACTTCGCCATCAGCCCTTCCCCATTCACACCAATAAATACATTCACCCATACAAGACACAGAAACACAAAACACATAACTTAACTTCTATATACAATAAAAAAAATTCCCGATTCCCTTAAAAAGCGGAATAGGGGACCCTGAAACTCACTGCTGTGTCCGAGAACCCTCTTTAAATCTGGCGGCATGCCTACTCGCGCCCTGTAGGTGTGTACACGTCGAACAACCTTGCTCTGCATAAGGGACACCTGCGGGACGACTGGCCCATCGAAATATTGTAATTCTAAACTTTATATGAACCTATGAATGAGCGAGATTCCAGGCAAAACAGACATATAAAAATCCGAAATTGCTTTCATTTTAAGAAGACCACGTCTTGTCTGATGTTCTTGCTATCGTTAAAACCGCGGCAATATGAACATTAATAACCTTTAAGACAACCTTCAATTCTAATATGGATTTTACAAACAAGCAGGCATGAGAAATGGTTTCAAAAATAAATATGCTTTCTCTGTAGAGATGATATCAGTGGGGGAAAACGTTCCACAACCAACAAATTTTGTTATAAATGTAATACTTAAAAAAAATTGTAATTGTATATTAAATATTGTATAAACTTATGAATCTGTACGGATAAACGGGTACAGAATTGCTAATGAGAAATTCGCGATTTTCAGCATTCAGCAACTTTGAGAATCGCAAACGGGAGAATATCCGTAGTCAAGGATTAATCCACTTGGCTGAGTTCAAATTAACTCCGAACCTTGCACGCACACCAAACATTAGAAAGCTAACAAAGTTCAAAATAGATAGGGGAAGTTTAAAATTTTGACCATTAAACGAATCTGTATTGTACAATTGTAAAAAATTACAATACGAATATGTAAAGAACAAACGGCAAAAGATCTTATTAAAGAAAGAGATAATAATTCACAAGATAAAAAAGTGGTACCTATTCTAATATTTTTTTATGAGTAAAATTTTCTTTCTTTGTTTCAATTCAATTATTTTTAAATTTATTAACAATAAATCAATAAAATATGTACTGTATTTACAATTAAAACAAAAAATAAAATATATTGTACGGCATATTAATAAAACATCTGCCGGGATTGAGCAGATTATATAATAAAAAGATCCATATAAAATGAGATAATACAAGAAAAATAACCTTAAAAGAAGGGATAAAATAGAAAACTGAAACTGATATTCTGGGATTGAAGATACCGGACAAGCCGGGCATAATCAATGAGGAGGCGACATTTTATTGTAGAATAGAGGAACTTTCATAGAAAAAAATAAAAAATAAGACTTCTATATTCCCAAAGTCGCACACGACATTGCTCACCCATCCGCTCTATCCATGGTGTATGATTCAAATAAAGAAGCTCTCCTTAGATTTAAAAATTCATCTTAACAATACATTTGTACAGTCAGCTAAAAGGTTACACATATTAAAGTCAGGGTTTAGGTGAAAGTAGAGAGAAAAATGGGTAGAAGAAGCGGCACGAAAAGTTTAAATTGCATTTAGTCTTTAGATTTTAATATTTAATAAAAATATTTTGTGAACATATTCACCTCAGTATTAAAACATTCAGCATGGATGGCAATGTGCCACAAATGACCACGGTTGTCCCAAACGTCCAAAGGTCGTTTCGTTTATCAAATCAATTTGAAATGGAAACCATTCAAAACAAGACAGATGAACAAATTTATTATTCTTCGAGTTCTATGTCAACACTTGTTGAAAATGTAAAAAGCTAGGACGTACTGACAGTTTGTCAACCCTCCTAACTATTATATGATAAAGCGCCAGGCCTTTGTGTCTAATTTTATTGGCTTTTGTACTTAAATTTCATGTTTGATGTGTTGATATGTTATTGAATTCTTAAAGTTAAGTTCTATTTTGTATATTTTGATAAAATATAAAAAATATATTTTTTAATTGCGTTTTTAATTTAATCAGTGTCTGTAGTGAATAGCTCGATTATTTTTTTGAATAGTATAAGCAAAAGTTTGTAGTTCATCATGAGAGCTTAAAAATGGAAATCTTGCTAAATCGCTCCGAGTTCGGTGTGCCGTTTATTTCTGAAGCTTGTCCTAATATTATCGCAGTTTTCTCACAAGATCTCTCAACTAGGAAGTTGGACTGATTCCCAGATATTGCGACAGGTTCAGGGGCTTCTCTGTTGCGGACCGACGGAGAGCTAAGTCAGATCGGTCCAAGTTAAAAAAAAGTGAATATTATTTCCGTACCGGCGAAAAAAAAAATATTAGGCCTTTTCCTCCTAGATATTTCTCATACCTGATGATTTCCCGTTGCTTTAAACAAAACGATATGTGAATATACGCGAATATAGATACACGAGCATATAAAATTATTGCACAAACCGTCAATTGTTCGTTGGAAAATTCGCATTAATAGTTTATGCAATCAAAACAAATAATTCAAGAAATTAACTATTATTTATAACTAAAGGGCTGGACAATTTATAATCACAAATTAGTCTTATCAGGCGACATATGTGGTAAATAACTAATTATCTCAGTTAATCGTGTAAACCAAATTTAATGTTTTATTGGTTACGCGGGTAAAATTATGAAATCAAACTTTTAACGTTTTAACTTTAGATAGCAGTAATCATCAAAAACTCAATAAATTATGCATTTAAGCCATCAAAATGGTCATTCAAATTTATTTCACCTCGAAGTTCTATAGGAAAATTTTATTAAGTCTGCAATACCAAGAACTTGTTTTGTAAACAAAATCTATTTTCATTATTTCGGTCTAAAAGAAAGACTTTTTTAGAAAAAAGAAAAAAGTGGACAAATTATACACTATAAATGTTTTTTCTGGTAACAGGGTTGAAAACAAGGTTTGCCTTGGAAACTTTGCAGACTTTTGTTTGGAAAATCGCCTTGTTCTGTAACCCCCGTCTTTGCAGAAATAGATCGAATCAGTAGCGCGCATCACGATTACTTCCGTGGAAAGGTTTTAAATTTAGCTTCAAAACTCTCTGGTGTTTGGCGATTAAATCCGTTTAGTTCAAAATAATCTTCAAACTAAGGGAAATTGCAACTCTAGCCACAGGAGTAACAAGCCTATTCGGTATCCTGTGAAGTTTTTAAACTCTATTTGCAATGTTAAATAAAGCTTCCTTAAAAAAATAAAGTTTTTTATATCATAAACTATATTCCTTTGTTTTGGTTTGCTTTCTGTGTAGATGTATCATACCTGTGTGTCGTGTTTATTTACTTTCAGTTGACAAGTTGAGTATTAGAACTGCAAATTTTTTAAAAAATATATTTCAGCACCTCTTTCTAGCGAATTTTGCCGAGCCCTACCGACTGTACTAGCTTACATAAATTCCACTCGCGGCTTTTGTGAGCCTTTAATGTTTTTTGTTAAGGAAAAAAAACCTAAAACTATTTATTAGTCGGGAAAATATGAAACTTCGCGGACCGTTCATCTGTAAATAAACCGTCCAGGCCTATGTTTTGCCAATAAAAATGACCTCGATAAAATATTCACTCCAAATAGATGCGTGGGCGTTTGATTACAAAATATACGTTTTGAAAAAAAAATGTGTCCGCCTACCAGTATAAATAAATACAATATTTGAATTTTAAAATTCAAATTACCAAGCAATATTCATGTGCGCCTATTAAACGTCTAAAACTCGATATCTAATTAATTACTGAAGAAATTTTGTGTTATTGTATATAACCTTATATATATTGTAAGAAATCAAGCATAAGGCGAATTTGAAAGAATGAAAAACAATCAGTTGCTTTTTCGAATTTAGTAATAATGTAGAATAAAGCACAACATGCGAGGTGGCCCTCGGAGGATCTGATTCTAGGATAGGCCTTGTGAGCTTAACACATAGACACTACATCTGGGCCTAAGCCTGCATAATTGTCCAGCATGAAGAGAAAATTTGCTTGATGTGTCCCACTGAATTGAAGGGTGACATCTTTGACCCCATATATAGAGTATGTAGGAATCCTTTTTTAAAGGAAACAGGACTGTTCTAACATATAGATGAGGAATGAGTTGGTCTTCAAGGAAATTTGAGATCGCCTGTAAAAAAACTGAAATATGTCAACTAATAGACATATTTAAGATTGTTTTGCCTTGATTATGACATTAAAATAGGTCAAAAGCTTGGTAGTAACAACTAAATTTACTTTTGTCTTTAAGACCAAACCTTGATCCAGAGTGTTCGCTAATGTATTTCATGAAAGTATTTATCCGTTGATCAAGCTCTTGAATGTTTTTCTTCCTGTTTTGTTTCATTTGTAGTCATAACTAAGATACTAATAAATGCATAATTTTCAGATTTTAAAATGTATGCCCCAATGCAAGCAAATTACCTCGGCAGCAACCCATTACAAAGGCAACTTGCCGACAGTATTGTTAAAATGTTACCTCTCGATGATATTCGTATCTTATTGGCCACTGGTGCAAAGGTAAGTTACATCCATAATAGCAGTTTTAGTTTATTAATAAGAAATATTTTAGGCCAACGAACCAGTGACTCAAGGTTTGAGACCGCTTCATTATGCAGTATGGAAAAATTATCCAGAAGCTGCTTTGCTCATTTTGGTCAGAGGTGGGGATGTAAATGCCAGGGACGAATGCGGATATTCAGCTCTGCATTTATCTGCTGAGCATGGGTAAGGATTAAAAAAAATTTGTTCTTGCCTTTAATAATCTTTTTATTAATTTAACAATAACTTTTAACAGATATACAGATTTGGTTGCACTTCTGCTCAGTGAAGGTGCTCAAGTAGACTATAGAGAAAATACAGATGATCCTTTCCCAAGGACTACTATTTGTGATGAACCATTGAGGCTTGCAATTAGGAACAAGCATTTTGAAATTGCCAAGTAAGTGATTAAATTAAAGAAAAAAATCTTTTGAGTTAGGGTAAATAATTTCCTTTGATCTTTCAGACTGCTACTTGAACATGGATCAGATCCAAACAAAAGATATTTTTTTGGTGCTGAAATTAACTTGGTTTCCCCTCTGGATATTGAGTTCATGCAACTTCTCCTTCTTTATGGCGCTGATCCAAATACAAGAGACAGAGGAGGATTGACACCCTTAATGAAAGCTGCAAGATTGCCTCAGGTTGGAATATTTCCAGTTTTCACATTATTGTATTTTAAAAAATAATAATATATTTTTTTATTGTAGGGCTTGCAATCGGTGTTACTTTTAATCTCCTATGGTGCAGATGTGAACGCGATGACAGATGAGCGTCACGATTATAGGACTGTTCTTCACTATGCCATTTTATCAGGCAATTTGGAAATTGTCAATCTTTTAATCAAACAAGGCGCTTCAGTAAATTATCCACCAGATGTCAGCAAACCTACTGTTTTAGACTTGGCCATTCTACGAGGCGATCCTGAACTTGTTAAAATGCTCTTAATTGCTGGTATGATTTTTATACTGTACTATTAAATGGATTATATTATAAATTAATAAGTTTATTTAATTTGTGTTATTTCAGAAGCAAATGTCAATTCAAGTTCTCCTATAATCGGTTCGCCTCTACATGTTGTGTGCTCAGATGGAATTCTCAACCGGCATGAATTAATGACTCTTCTTCTCACTTCTGGAGCAGATCCTAATCTTATAGTAGACAGTGATGACGGCCCACCTTTAAGGCCAGTGCTACCCGAATATTTAGCAGCGAACGAAAAACCTTGTCCGAATATAATAAAAATGCTGCTCAAATATGGAGCAAAGGTAAGCCAACATAGTCATAGTTTATAATGATCAACTCATGTTGTTTCTGATTCTAGGTGATTATGAAAACTCAATATCGACACCCCCAAGGTATTTTAAACTCGCTACAGCATATCGGAAACAACGACAGAATATTTTACTACCTCATGGAAGCGGCAGAACAGTTTGACACTGGAATGATAAGGAGGAACCATTATTTAAGTCAGGACCAAAAGAATTTTCTTTTAGACTATGCCATCACACCGCAGTCGTTGAAACAACAGTGCCGTTTTGTGATCAGGAATTATCTTGGCAAAAATTGTGTCGAAAAGGTCAAAGAACTTGAACTACCCAAAATCCTTCATAACTACCTCCTTTATGATTTTGTTTGATCTTTGTTTTTCTGATTTTTTTTAATTTTTACTTTTGTTATCTCATTAAAAGGTGATTAGTTAGTAATAATTTTGGGTGATTTAGAATCTAACTCGAAATACTCTATTTTTTACTAAAACTTAAGTTTATATGTTTAATGTCCATTTGTATTATTGGTATTACTTTATATGGATATTTTTTATATATTTCTACTTAAGATATTTATATTATTTTTATATTGTGATTAAAAAAAATCTTTTAATGATTTAGTCTATATATACTACCAGCCGTGTACCTTTATCATTGCAGATAATCTTTGATAAATAAAATAAATTGTATTGCAATTAAAGTAAGAACCTGTAATTTAGTCATCACTGATCATTTGAGCTTGCCTGGTCTCATTCAATTGAGATCGCAAAACATTTTAAAAAAGTCTTACAGACCAACACAGTGAGGATCTTTACGATCTGCGTACCATGACCTTGTGCATCTTCGTTGTTACTAGAGCTCCACATTAAGCTTAAGGCTTTTTACCAGATCCTAATGTTTTTCAAGGACTCCCATGTGTATCCTTCAGGCCAGTGCTTTTCCTCTCCCAGGGGTAGGAACTTAGCCAATAAAAGCCTTCACACAAGCAGGACACGTTACGTTGTCTCTTTTTCTTTCTGGCAATATCCGCACAGGCTAGTTTCCACCGCTCCAAGTCTATACATATCCCTCTGGATTCTGCAGAGCCCAATCAGTGATACAACTATTAATCTAGTCCTAACACATTGAGGTTAGGCATACAAAAATGAAATAGAGAATATATGAAATATAGAGAATTTCATATTATTAATGAGAAGAGTCAAAGGCTAAATAAATACAGTAATGATACATTTGTATTTCAATTTTTATAATGTACATTTTTCTTTTCAAACAAAAGAAGAAAAAGATAAGAAAAACAAAAATGTAGTAAATTAATAAAAACATTGCTAGTCAAACATCTAAAAAAATTTAAATTTAAAAATATACACCTCTTCACTCATAGGAAAGTGAACATTTTTTCTATTACAATTAAAAATTAACAAATTAAAACCAATTACAAAAACAGTCAATTTGTGTCAATATATACACATAACGATATATATTACAAATTGGACTAGCGTTCAGATTCCTCATCATCCTCATCATCATTATTAGTTAGCTTGTATTTAACTACATCAAAACTTGATATTTTCAAAAAATTAGATTTGATGCGACAACCTTTTGACCTGAAGTAAAAAATGAACCCAATAGCAATAAAAATACAAGCGTTGACAGAAAAGGCGATGAACGTTCTGAAATACCATTTATTGTAATTTATTGTCAAAAGGAGTGCTTTTGGGTAACAGAAACGCTCAAAGTCCGATGTATAGAGCAATGCATCTGGGAAACACTCGGTGCACTCATAGTCATTTGGTCCAGAACAACTTTTACAAGAGTAATGACAACTCTCACAGTGTTCACCGTGCTTGTATGTCTTAAACGGGCAGAACTGTTCGCATCGACCATTGATTAAGAACCAGCCTTTTGAACATTCTGAAACAACAATAATTATTACAATAGATTATTAAGAAAACAATTTTAAATAATCGAGTATTCTTCGTAATGAAGAATTTTCCAAATCAATTGCACAATTTTTCAGTTTATTTTATGATTGAGTGGATATCAGACTTTTGTTTTCTATTGTGAATATTAATAACAGAAAAACAAACTAACAATAAAAAACAGATATTGTTATCAAAAGTCAAAATAAACTCTATAAAAGATATATTTCCAATATGAAAGCTTTATTATTTTGTTGCTGAGTATAATAAGAAGTTAATAAAGTATTATTTTAAGTAAGTATAGAAAGTAATAAAATGAAATTATGCACATTGTTGATACAAGTTCATCTGATTTGCATTTTACTGACAATTTTCAAATTCATCTAAAAAATATTTAGTGATATATTGAATTTATATCATTGATGAGGGCTACATTGAAATATTTTGGAAACAAAAATCAATATTGCAAATGACGAAACTACTACAATTTTTGTTGCTTCTTAAATTCTAAAAATAAAACAAGGTTGATATGAGGTAAGATTTATTTTTCAAATAGCTCTCTTGCTCTAATCTTGCACAACAATCCTAAATTAAACTATAAAAACTACTAATAATATAATATTTAAAACATTATTTATTCTTTGACAATTGAGGTGCCAATAAACATTACTTTATAAAAACAAAAACATCTCATATATTTAATTGAACAAATGTTAATTCAAATTTGTTAGTGACAATGGTTGATTTGAATTTTTCAACCTGAACAAACAAAATGAAAATACGCCAAGATGAAAGGTTTCATGGTTAATCACAAAAAGCAATTTGAAAACATGTTAGTGACATAAATTTCAATCAGACATGGAAAAAAATCGGTGCCAAATAAAATTACAACACACCAGCTTAAAATGGGGATGATTAAACTCACCCCTAAGAAGTCCAGATGCAGGAGCATTGGGTTGCACATGCCTTCAACCTCCACCTGTGTATCTACTTGAACAGTCTTTGATTATTAGGCACAAAACAATGGCTGTTAAACTGTAAAATATCCCTGGATGTTGCCAATTATTCAACATACAAACAATAAGACAAGCCAAACAGAAGAGTATCCATGAATAAAAAATAAAAGGTAAAGTCCCATTGAAGATGCACATGATGAATGAGAAGTAAAAGCAGTTAGCATTTTATGTTTAACTTAAAACATAAAACCTAAGAATGTGATAGGTCATTTAATAAAAACCATGAGAAAAGAATGTTTTATTTATTTTTAATAAATGCACTAAAAATTATTATTGAATACTGGAAACACAAAGAACAACCTAAAAAGGTGTCTTTGTTAAAAAAATAATTAATTTAAAAAAAAACTTTTGAGGATAAAGCATGCATTACACCACTTCTGTATTATTCATACAGGAAATAGCAGTTGAATAATAACTATAAATCAAATCCTTCATTTTATTTTTTATTTTTGATTGTTCAAGTACTGCTGCAATAGTTAAATATAATTTAGCAACATAAAAAACATTTAAATGGGAAAAACTGTCGTTTTTAAACAAATATCTTAATATAGGTATGAAGAATGAGCTTAAAAATGATGATAAAGGACCCTGTTAATAGACTGTACAACAAAAAGTGTATACGTAAAAGGATATTTTTACTGAAGTATTATTTCTTACAGATAAATTTTGATTTTCTGGACTAGGTGATACAGCAATTTCAAAACCAATTAAGGCTCATAAGGAAGTTTGTGGATAATTTTTCGTCATTAAATGAATTTTTCTTCTTTACATGAAACACTGGAGCTTCACAGTAGAAATAGAAACTTGTAAAATTTCCATCTTTAGACTTACTTTTAATTAGGAAAGGAACAAATTGGTAGAATAAACCGTCCAATAATAATTTTGGCTTTAATTCTGCCTATTTGTTTAGTTAGAGGTGAGATTGTGGAAAAAGCTTGGTACAGAGAGTCCTAGGGTTAAGCGACAAAACATTTTTAGGCTCTAAATGAGTACAGAATTTTTTTAAATTCTAAAAAGGAATTACTACCCTCCATCCTTGATTAGGAAGTCAATAAATGGACATAAAAGCAAAAGTGTAGAAATCAGGGTTCTAGAATCTGTAGCAAGCTTGAACCAATTGGGACAGAGGTCATTTGCCAGTATAAATCATTTACCTTCATCTATATATATAATATATANCTAAAAAGTTTTTTTAAAATTTAATTTAGTTTTTTTTTTTTTAATTAGGAGTATTCCAAGAAGCATGTTTCATTGTTTCTGTGTTTCGGGCAGAAACCCGAGCAGTCTACCAGAACTACTATCCCATTTTGACTGCTCGTGTTTCCTGATAATGGGCATAAAAAATAGCCCAAAAGGTCCAAAATGTGAAAAGAAAAAAAAAAGGTGAAATAAACTCCTAATTAAAAAAAGTAAATAAATGAAATAAAAATAAAAATTTGTTTTAGAAAGAGACAAAAGATAACAAAATATATATAATAATCTACTGGTATGGAATCAACTACAATTAGTATATTTACAAAAAAAAGTTAAATAATAGTACACCCAGAAGTAAGTATATCCTATGAGTATAGAAACTAGATATGCACAGCCACATGTGGTCTATTTAGCCTCTTGTGGTGATAGTGATTATGTTTACTTTTTGGACCAAAAAGAAAATGTAGGTAAAAGAGACAGGCCTGTCTGCTCATGTCAACAAATTGGGCTAATTAACCTAGGGTTCTCCAAAAATCCTGATCAATGAAAAAAAAACAAAAAACGCTGATAAACAAAAAAATATAAATTCTTCTTACCCCACAGTCTGTGAACGGACTCGTGGTTATATATGGATTTATTTATCAGTTTTGGAAAAAGATTGCAAAAAATGTATTTTAATGGAGACAAGTAAAAATAAAAATAATTCCAAGCAAACTTGTTCGATTCCTGGCTGGTAAAAAATATATTACATGCTTGTTAAGAATTTTAATGGTAAATATTGATTAATTGTTTTACCTATCAGTTTTTTAAGTTGTACTTCTTCATTGCCCTTAGGGTGGGTGTACAGCATTGAAATAAATTTTTGTAATGAAGTGTTAATGTAAGTCATACTATTTAATTAATAATTCAAATTAATTCCACTATGTAAAAAAATGTATATTTGTAAATAAACAGACCATGAGGATGATTACTATTATTTGACAAGCTTGAGGTCAACTTTCATTTGTACAGTCTGCTGAACGTTATATGGTCCATCTTCATCATTAGTTTATCTGTTATCATCGTAATCTTCATACTAGGGTATGATGAAATATTGATTTCAAAATATTTCTACTTTCGTCAAAAAGAAATGAATAAAAACAAATGTTAAATAATGTAATTGCATATTTATTTCTTATGATATACAAATTCTTGTTCTTCGTATTTTTAATTCTTTTTTTATTTTATTGTTGTTTTTTTTACAATTGTTGCCAAGTCAGAAAAGACAGAAAGAATTAAATCACTATGACTATAATTAACATTAAAACAAGTTACAATCAGTTTCATTGGTTTAAATGGAGTGTGCTGTTAAAAACCTCAGTCTAAAAACAAGATACATTTATTAAAATCTTATATCTAATCTTATAAAAAATAAAAATTCAATAATTAAAATAAAATGAAAGAAAAAATGCAATTGTGGACAATTGAGCACAACAATAGTGTTAATTTATTCAAATGTACAAGGGAATATCGCTTTATGAAGGATGGAACATAAAATTAATTAATCTCAAGCACACCCCGTAGAATTGTAAGGATAAAATAAATTGTGATGTTTCAAGTAAATAGTTTTTGGTATAAAAACAATTCCCATTTCCCATCTTTGAAAAAAATCCCTATTAGCATTTCATTTTTAGTAAAGTAAGCTGGAAGCACAAAATTATGTGTGTTAAAATTGCACTGAATTAATGTCATGAAAGTTTTTGGAACCTCTTTCTATGTAACTGTCATTCAATCTGATCAAATGAGTTCAATAAGTGCAAAGTACGACGATGATAATGTTTTTAATATGTTACAATTAATTGGTCAAGCGGACCACGAAATTAGTGAATTTAATGAGTTTTTAATATGGTTCAAAATATGATTGATGCCAACTGAAATTGTTTACAAATGAATGAATGAAGAATGGTACGCCCCTAATAATAGATCTAATTCCATCAGATTTAAAAATTGAGCATTTTGAAACTTTATTGGATGGAGGCCTACAGAAAGGTATCATACGCATCATAAAAATACACTACCAAATAGATAATACTGATGGTACATAATAACACTGACAATTAGCATACTTGGATATGCTACAACTCCAGTTTGTACAGAACACCTCGAGAAATTGGCCATACTTAGTTAATTGCACTTGTGCAGTCAATTTTATTTGTTTTCATTCATTAAAGCCAATATCATATAAAAATGGTACTGCAATTCAAATACTGATATGAAACTTATAAAATTAATCACCATTCACACTTAACAAAAATATCCCTTTCAACAACTTTATAAAAAACTGTTTATTTACATTAATTATTTGGCAGCTAATTTATCAATTACTAAATTTTATTCCACACTTTTGCAGTATTTCATTTAAAAACAATTTATATTAATTTAAATAATGCCAATCTGCGAGACAAACATTATAAAATTTCTCATTAAGTAGGCATTTAAACTAAATTAAGTGAATTTTAAGTAACTTAAAATGTAGTTAGTACTCAAAAAGTAATGACATTTAATTACACTAGTTTACTTTTTTATAGCCAGAAAATAAATCATTTTCAAAGTAAAGGAGATGTCCTGTAATAGTATTTTTTTTACTAAATTTTTTTTTGTTCATGAAGTTATTCCATCATATTCTCATGCATACACATAGTTCTACACATTTACAAACACTTAATGTTAATCCTCATTGAGAATAATCCCACGATATTGCTATTAATATTATAGTATTAAATCAACGTTTAATAAATATGAAATAAATCCATGGTTGTAAAACTTTGGCTGTACAAGTGAATCCTTTTTTATCAGTGGGCAAGAGTCAATGTTGAAACTAAATTCACAGCTTTAACATGCACTTCGCGACCAAAATGAATGAATTTTCACACGTTTAAAATATATTTTATTTCTGCAAGCAACATGTGAACAAATTTCGTTCGGATATCTTTATTAATGCGATATTTTCCTTAATTCATCGTAAGGAACGTTTATTTTACATATCCGATTATTGTAGTAGTAACCCTCCATCAGAAAATTATTTTTATGTCGGGTGAGTCTTTTCATCACAAAAATTGTGCATTACATCGCTTTATTTAGTTTAAGTAAGTTCACTATTTATCACATTGCACAATTAAAAGACTCATGAATGGTAATACATTCACAAGTTTCAACTAAAATCACCTGTATCACTGAGGCACACTCATTGTTAGTATTACAAATAATAGAACTACACACAAACCTAAGCATGAGCGAGTCGACGTTTGACAACCCGAGGAGGAAATTTCGTCGGGAAGAGCATGGATTTCTTGAGACGTAAAACCGGTCCTTTGTGAGTGATCTTTCCATCTTGAGTTATCAGCCATATCGACTGAATTATCTTGACTGAAAGTCGGGCTCGGCATTGCTTCCTCTTTCTTCCCAGCAGTTAGTTCAGGTTCTACTCCAGGTGCTGTCTCAGTCCCGTAAAAAATCAAATTCCAATCAGTCAGTCGAGCTGCAAAAACAAAAATAATTAATTATTATGACAAACACATACATAGTTATCTAATATATTATACCAAGCAATAACAAAACAAAAAAGGAAATAAAGTAAACTATATATGGGGCATACTATTAAAATAAATTTAAAAGGCAAACAAATCAATTTCACTTCTCATATAACATTGCAATAAAGGAATCTGTACGACAGAAAATATCTTCAAATATTTTACAAGAAACTTTGCTCTTAAGATGAATAATTATAAAATGATTTGTTAGATTCACTAATTTCGTGGTCCACTTGACCAATTAATATATTACAATTAATTAAGGTTTTTAGTTGAGATAAAAAAAGTCAATGGCACAAGCGGGATTCGAACCCACGATCTTCGGCTTGATACGCCGCTGCTCTACCACTTGAGCTATCGTGACGTCGATCCACTTGAACACCAACTTCTCATCTCAACCGCACCTTTTGAATTTTCCCTCCTTTTTGCCATTTTTCAAATGTCGTGTAATCGGATTGGATTCTCGATGGCAAATGAAATGGCCACGGAGAGCTTTAGTGAAGTATACTTCATTTTAAATCATTAAATTCACTAAAGTGAATGAAATTTTAAATTAGTGAATTTAATGATTTAAAATGAAGTATACTTCACTAAAGCTCTCTGTGGCCATTTCATTTGCTGTCAAGAATCCAATCCGATTACACGACATTTGAAAAATGGCAAAAAGGAGGGAAAATTCAAAATGTGCTGTTGAGATGGGAAATTGGTGTTCGAGTGGATCGAGGTCACGATAGCTCAAGTGGTAGAACAGCGGCGTATCAAGCCAAAGAGCGTGGGTTCGAATCCCTTTGACTTTTTTTATCTCAGCTAAAAACCTTAATTAATTGTAATTATTTGTTAGATTTCTCCATGAAGTCTACAGGGAGAAGAACCTGAAATTTGGTCATTACTAATTATTGAGGTCTGCTTATCCTTGCTAGGTTGGTCTGTCAGATGCCTTTTTGCATTTCACCATTAACTGAGAGAAAGGCAGACCAGAATTTTTGGTAATGATTACGTTTCAGAACATTTTATAAGCATTTCATACTTCCCCAACTTTCTATTTCATATTGCAACATTTTATATTGCAAAATAAATAAATAATTTATAGATGTATCATTGTTTTTAAGAGGTGATAACCAAAACTTCTATTAAAGCTTTAAAATTGCAAAAAATAAAATGCACAAAAAATATTGTGTTTTCCATTATCATATCAGCAGGCAAATAATAAAATATTTAAAAACTAAAAAATTGCATACAATATTATACATGTTTATACAGAGACACAGTAAATAATCATACAGGCGCAAACAAAGAGCTAGAAGGGGAATGCGTAAGAAATGAGAAAAATACAAACATGCGTATAATCTAAATAACAAAAATCCATACAAAACATAACTTCTACAGTGGGAAGAACCAATTAAGAAAATATAAATAAAATTGAAATGAAAATAAAATAAAATAATTTTTGTGTGAACAACTTATCATCGATCTTTAAACAAGCTTGCCTGTTTCTTTTTGATGATCACCTTGTTCAAGACCTTTTCTTGAAGGCCTTAGAGGAGACTCATTTATTTTTGAATAAGGAAAGAGTTGCTGTACTTTATTATACTGTTGGAATATTGCTGGGAAATTGTTTGTTGTTTGGGAAGGCTGCTGTGGTGGAGCGAGGAGTATTGTTAAACCTATAGGGTGTGTGGATATTTGTGATGTTATAGATGGCACCGTCGGCCTTCTGGCTGATATAACCGAAGGCCTGGGAGTTTTGCGGGAGGGCGATTGGAAATCATTCTTTTTCCCTTTTGACTTCCCAGTCTTTGAAACAGGGTTGGACTTATTTTTCCGAGAGCCTTTAGGTTTTTTTGGTAGGGGCTGGTTATTTACACTTGGAGGTCTGGGAGGTGGTAGAGGAGGAATGTATGCACCACTGTAAGAGGGCGGAGGGATTTGAGTCCCATAGAAAATCAAAGCCCATTCTTGAAGAGATGCTCTCCCTAAAAGAAATCCTAGTGGTAATTCATTTACTTAAGCATTCATGTGGAATAATAGTAAATGAGTTAGAGTGAATAATAATGTAATGAAAACAAAAAGACTCACCAAAATATCGGGCTTCGTTATGAATTTCTAATGTCCAATTCCCGATTGGGTGTTCCCCCCATGTATGAACTGACATAAAAGGCCATGATCTGAACCCTGCTCTTGATAAATCATGAACACGTTTTGCCAAAAGAATTGTTTTTGTTCCTGCTGGTGAGATCAGCATAATTTCAATATCACCACGTCTACTGGAAACTAATGATATTTTAGCCTGAAAAATAGACAAAAACCAAATATTACAAAATTTTTTTTTAATTTGACTAGAAAAAAAAAAATTAAGCTCTTACTTGAACATGTTCTAAATAATTGACACCATTGCATTCTTTTACATCAAGTTGTAATCTAACTTTACCTTTCCCTGGTATAGACCTGGAAAAAATAATTTTATAAATATGCTGTAGGAAAATTTTATGAAATCTTCAAGTTGTGAACAAAAACTAAAGTTAGCAAAGGATAATTAATTAAAAATATTGTCAAATTGTGTTTACTAACTTGTCAACATGAGGAGCCTTGACTTCACATCTGTGTTGTTGAGGAACTGTGGGCCACTTTTTAGCCATCTTCACCATAGCCTCTGCGTCCATAAGTCCATAACCAAAGGAATGACTCACTAAAATATTACAATACAAATTATTTTTCAATGTCATCTTATCTGACAAAAAAAGGAAACAACACTTTTTTCAACTAATTTAAGAGTTATTGTTCTTAGCATACTATCAGAATGAAAATTGAGAAACTATAATTCATTTGTATGTTTTATTTTTCCTAATTTTGATTTTGGAATGAAATAAAAAACAACCCTGTACAAAACATGATAAGTTTATGATTGCTTTACTATGAAAATTAAATTTAACATCAAAAGCAATATTACACATAAAAAAGTGATTATAATATGAATTTAATAAGACAAACCATTGCGCCCAACACCATTTGTGGTCCAATCCCGAGCTTGGAGGTTGGCTGGCTTGGCAGTTGCTACAACGATATGCTGCATGTCTCTCCATGTGAGTTGTGTGTTGGCTTCCAATGCCAAAGCACAGATCCCTGCTGCAAGAGGGGCTGATGCCGATGTCCCCGTGTGATTTTCTGTACACTGCTGATGAAGATCTGTGGTGACAATCTATAAAGTGGTTGATACAAAATAAATGAACAAATGAAGTTATCGACTAGTCTTTAGATGATTAATGTCAACAATTCAAATCTATTCAATAATTACCATTTCAGGGTGACTTGCATTGTTTCCAACAACAAAGCAAAGCCATTCTTTTGTCACTTGTTAAGTTACAATTAATTATTTTCAGTTAAGATTTATTTAAATTATAATACCAATTAAAAGGAAACTTTCTTTAGTAAAATATAGTCAATTTAAAATGTTGGATAAATGTTTTATTATTTAATCAATAATCAAATATTTTTTATCAATTTTGTGTTCACTACTATTAAAAAAAAACATAAACCTTTTAAAACTACAAGAGGAATATATGTTAAAAAATAATAAGTAATTAATTACAAAACCACCAGAGAGGATTGTATTTTCTGCAAAATAATAAAAAAAACTTTTTTAATATGGGCTATTGTTACATATAATGGGGGCTTTAAGGGCTAAGGCCCTTTCAAGCTCTAACAAATGAACCTGTATTACTTTCTTTAAAAACTTTATATGAAAGTCAGACTTGAAATAAATTGTTCCTTACACGTTATTCTTTAAACAACCAAACTTTATGCATTGTCAATTGATTTATTATCTAATTAGCTGGTAATGAAAACGACCACCGGGAAAAAAGAAGAAACAAATAGCTTTAAAAATAAAACTAGCTATTTTAAAGTAAAATAGTTAAAATCAATAAACAAATAATAACAAATTGTTACTATACATAATTTAATAATATAATTGTTAATTGATGATTACAATTGATTTATTATGATACAGTTGATTCAAGAATGTGTGGATGCTATGAGTTCGACTTCTTCAAGAATATTCGTGCACTTTGAGGAAGTACAACCGCTGACAATTAGCTGAGCAAGTCGAGCAGTGAGTGTTGTTGCTTCATGAATAACCAAGCACCTATCCCCACTAGTCAAGATTCAGTGAACCTTTGCTTGGCATTCGGCGAATACCACAGGTCGGGAGCCACATTTACAGTATAGCAAATAGAATCGGCCATATGAGGTTGACTTTTCTGTCTGCAATGTGTCCAGCACTCACTGTCTCACTTAATTAAAGGATGCTTCTTCTTTGGCTCCATATATAGAGCACTTAGGAATGTCACCCAATGAGAACTGTGCTTCAGCAAGGCAATGAGTGTTTGGATTCCAAGTTCCGATTTTTAGATGAAATGGAGCATTTTATTATATGCAGTATTTGGTACATGTCTCATTTTGAGTTTTACTCTGTATATTGAGAGGGAATATATTTATTACAGTGAATGTGTAATGTGAGAAGGCTGATGGTGGAATATTTAGCCAAAGTGGAAATAATCTACGGGCCCGGCACCCAGCTTGTGGGCTTCTTCTTACCACAGCTTAGAAAATGGATAGACTTCAATTCTCACGGGAACATCTGAATTGGGCATTGAAAGATTGGGGATGAGTTCTCTTTTGAGATAAGGTGAGAGTAGGTCTTAAATCTTCAGTTGGGCATAATTTCATATGGAGACAGTCAAGAGAAAGCCCAAGTTATAAGTATGGCTTCCATGCTCGGTCATTTATGTTATGGGATGAGATTTCCTACGGCAGCCGCACTGAATTGGTTGTTGTACAGAAGTACTTATAGAAGATATAATTGAAGAACCCCAAGTAGGTGATAGATTCTTGTGGAGACGTCCCATAATGGACGTATTGTGGATGACTACTTGAATGAGGTTAGAATTGAGTGCGTAGTGTGGCCAGGTCAAAATCCCGATTTGAACCTAATGGAACACATTTGGGACCAACTTAAGTGATGAGTATGTTAGAAAAACCTAGGTCCTAACATCCTTGAAGAGTTGGAAATGGCTATTCTTTATGAATGGGAAAAAAATCCTCAGTATTTTATCAGAAATCTTTTCCAAGGAATGCAAAGGAATTTAATGGACCTGATTCATGCCAGAGGTTGAAATACTCGGTACTTAAGGTGACAAAAAAGTTGTTTTTACATGCTTATTTGTTTTTGAATTTTCTGTTTTTTTCCTCTGCACTCAATAATTGTTTTTAGAATTAGATAGTACCTTTTCTTTTGAAAGTCTTTTTTTTTAACAACTAAACCTATTTTTTGTATGCAAACTATGACTAAACCTAAATCATTAAAATTAAATGGTAGTGTGTTAACTTTCTCCATTGGAGTATATAAATTGAACTGTGGAGGCTAAATATAACTGTTGAACAAATGAAAAAAAAAAAAAAAAAAAAATGGATATTCAATTTTAGCAAACTGAATTAATTTGAATATTAATTATAAGAATGATCAAAACACTAAAAAGTACCCTTAAATAATATTAATGAGATAGAGTAACTCTTTTATTTTATAAATGTATGTATAGTAAATTAAAAAAATGGCTTATTAAAAAGTACCTTGATTATATATATTATAAAGTTGATAATACATTTAAATGAGCACAAAAATAAAGTAAAAATTGATAATGATAATGAAATCTTCTTGACAAACATCAATATTAAGTTAATTTAAATACGGATTTTCCAATAAATTTTTGAAATTAATTAAATAGTATAAATATTTTTTATTTTTTTACATTAACTTTTCTGGGCTATCTAACTGCCATATTCAGCAAAAACAACGTGTTTTTTTCCTAGTTTAGAATAAGAATATAATTACCTGTTTTTCTACGTTTGACCCGCTACTATAGGTCGTTGCTAATGTGGAAGAACAAGCCTCGGAATACCATGGTACGTTGCCGTGTTCCGTAGCGCTGGATATGGACAACGTCCATATGGAATTTGTATATCCATCACAGTTGCAGTTATCGTGGTCCCTTCCTCCATTTCCTGAAGCCCAGACGAAAATCGAGCCCTTGCCTCCTCGCCCCTGGAAAAGGTTGTGTGTCAATAATTAATCGGGCCATTTGGTGAGGAGAGAGAAAGTAGGAAAGTACTACACCATTCAAATAATGGGGGTACTCTTCTACATTATATAAGACGGTAAGAATATGATCTGAAAGGGTCATATGTTGAGAAGCTGCAGAATACTTTTTATCCCGTTTACACCACGGTGCACACATCTATTTTTTATTTGTAAAGTTGCAGAATATAACTGAAAGTAAACCATAAAAATACTATAAACGTATTTTGTAAAATAAAAACCCAATTTGTAAATTTAATTCGGTCAAAAATTATGTTTTTTTTGCACAAATCTCACACAAATAATATTAGAAACAATTAATTAAGGTTTTTAGTTGAGATAAAAAAGTCAATGGCACGAGCGGGATTCGAACCCACGATGTTCGGCTAGATACGCCGCTCACTACCACTTGAGCTATCGTGACCTCGATCCACTCGGACACTAACTTCCCATCTCAAAAGAAAAAGGAAAATTCAAAAGGTGGGGTTGAGATGGAAAGTTGGTGTCCGAGTGGATCGAGGTCACGATAGCTCAAGTGGTAGAGCAGCGGCGTATCTAGCCGAAGATCGTGGGTTCGAATCCCGCTCGTGCCATTGACTTTTTTATCTCAACTAAAAACCTTAATTAATTGTAATATATTAATTGGTCAAGCGGACCACGAAATTAGTGAATTTAATATTAGAAACATTTAACAAAACAACCTGAATAATACAAAATATTGAGTCACACTTGTCAAACAAATTGCACGCACACATCTATACATCAGATTTTCTTATTTTTGAGCTTAACCCTTTAACCCTCATATTATTAATATTTATAGTAATAATGTTTATTTACTAAGAGAATAATGAAATGAAATTAGTAGATTAATGATACCATCATTAATCAGTAATTACTGTTTACCAACAAACATTGTCAATCACCTTGGCATCAATATCTTTTTTCTCAGTTTCAAAGACCATTCAAAGCTACAGGGAGACTTAGAGACTTGCGGCGACCAAATTGAGGCCAAATTACTAACTCAGTACGTTTTTATTAAAATGAATTAAACTATTTCTGGTATTAAAAACTTTATCGCTTTAATTCAGGGGATATCAATCTCGCTAATTGTTGAAAGAACACTAAAAGAGCCAAAAAGATCCAGATAACCCACAAAAGGCCTCCATCCACCAAGAACACAGTAGAGAGAGCCTAAGATTTGCAAAACAACACCAATCCTGGACTATAGAAGAACAGGGGAAAAACGTACAATAGTGAGATGAGAGTGGGGCCTGTAACAGTTCAGGTATCCATGAAAAGGACTAGAGAAGACCAGTGCTGTATGTAGAAATAGTGAAATTTGAATGAAAAACTATCATGTTCCGGTAGTTCTGGTGGCAGCATTTCTTTGGAGGCACGAATACAGTTGGTATAAATGCAAGGGGACTATAATGCCTTAAGATATCTGATGATGATCTTGCCTTACTTAGGCTTTGAATCATTGTTTATGCACATTAAAGTTCGGACATTAACTCAAATGAGCACGTTTGGGACCATCTTAAGAGAATGGTTCGTCAAGAGATCATTCTTTAATACCCGTAAATTTTGAAAAGACGTTTTTACATTAAATTTTTCACCTCGCGGCTTAACAAATGGAAGCAATCATTAAAGCAAGAGAGAGCAATACTTCATATTAAATGCCATTTTAAATCGAAAAGAATGTGTTTCAATTGTCCTCTTTTTTTATTTTGGTTGCAACTTCTTAACCCTAAAATATTCATAGATGTTCGTAAAATACGAACAACTAAGGGTGCTGCGTTTTTTTTTGCGGGGAGTAAATTTCAGCGCAATGCCGACACTATTCAATTATAAATCACAAAAAGTTACAATAAAATATTTATTCAATGGAAAGAATGGTTTGTAATTTGTCTATTTATAACTCGCCTCGTCGACCATTTCAATTCTTGGAGAGCTAAATTAAATGATCTTAGAACTTAATCAGGATAATGCTCAATTTTGATAGCTCAACTAGCAGCTACGAACTTGTTCCTTTTAAACTGATTAAATTGAATGAATTAAATGTTTAAATGGATTGGTTGTTGTTTATTGCAAAACCGGTTAAAGAAAATAATTGAAAACGTAATTTTATAAATTATCTCAACCAATATCTTACTTAAAGAATAATTAATTGAAAGAATTTATTTGGTCAATCGGACCACGAAACCTAATGAATTTAGTAATTTTATAAATTCAAAATTACGTACGCGCAAACAATTTTTATACAGTAATATTTTATGATTTATAATTTAAAAATTTCTTCTCTGACATTTTAAAAATGAACGATCTAACGTCCAAATTACTTTTTTTGGTCTTCGAGGAACATGTTTATTGATATTGAACGTTTATTTACAAAATCTTAATGCTTTTGTTTCTTCTGTTTCTGCGTTTGTGCATATTTTACAAGTTTTTCCTCTTTTGTACAGTCACACAATATTTGCCGTGTGAAGACATAAAAATGCAACGAAAAGGCTTAAAACGAGAGTCTGGTAGCATGTGTAAAATTGGTAAAGATGATGTTGAATATTGCAAAAAAATTTCACGGCTCAGTCGCTATGCTAAACCCGCACGACTCGCAGGTCTTGCAAAGCTGATGAACTAAAGCGCCGTGAAAGTACCATCATTCATTCATTCAAGCCCTTTTTCACCATTTAACCTTTTATTTGTCCTTTTATATATCACTATCAACTTTTAATCTATCTCTATAGAGATCTCTCGATATCTGTAAATTAAATATACTTAAAAAATGCATTTTTTGGATAGTAACAAGCTTTTAATTAACAATTAAATAAGGTTTTTAGTTGAGATAATTAAGCGTAATATATTAATTGGTCAAGCGGACCACGAAATTAGTGAATTTAACTTTTAATTAACTTTTCCTTCGCATCTATATCTTCAAATATTTTTGTATTTTTAGAAATATAGAAATAGAAATATATTTATCAAAAAACATTTTCACAATAGTGCTTGGTTCTTTTACAGTGAGTATGCAAATATAAAATGGTGTGATTAGTGACCGTTAATCGATAATTATTCAGAAATCGTGAGATGCGGTCTGGTGTGATGTAGGTTTCAGAAAAACATTTTCTTTATCGTGCCAACGTTTCGATCTTTATTGAGATCATCTTCAGGGCCTGGGATTTACAAATATTGTTTACATTTAACAAATACATTTAGGATGTGGAAAAGTGAATTTATACAATGCAAAATATATTTTTTATATTCAATCAATTTGTACGAATATAATAACAACTATTATAATGTAATAGTTGAGTATGAATGAAGGAGAGTAGTAGTTATAAAGCACAAGTGTAAAAAAGAGAAGAGAGAGTATAGTATTTCTTTATTTTAAAGACCCCCCCCCCAAAAAAAAAATAATAATTCTGATCATAATTTTTCTTGAATGTCTAAAAAGAAAGAGATCAAGAAAAATAATACAAGTAAAGAGCGGGCATACAATTAACGAAGTTCAAACCTTTATAATCTGTAATATAATATGTGTACGTTTTTGCATGTACGTATAAATGTATACACACAATATCGTATGCACATTTACATATCCGGTGTAATTGACTTGAACGGCCACCATCGAGTGAAACTGGCTGTAATTGCGTTTCAGTCTTCTAAGGCGGTAGGAAGGAAGGGTAGTGCTGGACAGGTTGCGAATTAACGGGTCATTGGGGAGGAAAGTTGGGAGGAAATTTATTGTAGCTTGGCCAGTTTTGGGACATAGGGTATGTTGAGATCGGAATGGATAGTATGATCGGTGACACAGAATGGAGCATCAACTATTGTGCGAAGGATTTTGGATTGTGGGGATTGGATTTAGTTAAGATTGTAACACTCGGCTGTCCTGTATAGTTCAAGTCCTTAAGTCAAAATTGGGGCAATTAGGGTAGTGCATAATATTTTTTGTTAAGAATTGTCGGTTTAGATCTTTTGCTAAATAGTCTCTTCAGAATTTTATATCTAAGGTTAGAGTCAATTTTTTTAGTCGTGGGTATGTAGATTCTTCCTAAGTCTTTGGTCCACATAAAGTCAAAGATATCGTATACTATTCACTGGAGGAATTTGGGTGCCGTGTAAATATGCAGGTGGGAGTTTTACGATTAAGAATGAAAACTATCTATTTTGATTTTGGATTGTTTATCTTGATCCTCCATTGTCAAAGCCAGTGTTCAAGCATACGAAGCAACAGGATCGATCTTTGAGGAGAGGATTGCCGTGTCATCGGCGTGTGTGAAGATTAAGATCCAGAATCTTTTAAAATTACCATTTTAAGTCAATTTTTTACAAATAAATATTTGATCTAGTATTTCAATTTTCTGAAAAAATATTTTCAATAGCAATAACAAAAATAGAAATAAACTAAACAGGCAATTTCAACAATAAAATACATTGAACATTACCTGACCTTTTGGTGTTAAAAAAGTATAGATAAAATTTAGCTTAATTCTTGAAATAATTATACAACTTTTGGCGTGTGATGTGAAGAGACTGAAGTGTAGGTATCGTTATAATTAATAAATTTGTCTTTGCTAAAATTATGTTGCCTAAATAAAGGCTATTTTTCAGAGAAAAAAAGTCGAATAATTTGTTGTATTCCAAAGCAAGAAATTGGTGAATTTAAATTTTCCATTCTTTGTACATTTGTAAACTATATAAAGTCATAATTTGTCATCCGTAACAAACAAAAATATGTTTAAGGTCGTTGAATGGGATGGGGTTGAATTAACCCGTGTTGAACATGTTATTGATCTACTTCCTGAGGCTTGCTATTCTCAATGATTCTAAAGCAGTCTTAGAATTTCGTTACCATTTCTCGCAAGCCTAAAATTACTAAATCAGAGTATAAGGGAAATTAGTTAACAATAAAGTTGTGTTTAACATCCCCGTTGCAAAGGTTAAAAATTAATTATAGTGACATTATG